GATTGAAAAATACATGTATGTGTCACACGTACGTCTGAACATAACTGAAACGTACCCTTTTCGGGACTCGGTCTCTAGATCTCGGTATCGGCTGCACCAATTTTATTCGGACTGGTCGCAATCGAAAGATACCGATGACATTATATAATAAAAGTGTTTTTAGATTTTTGATTCTGCTTTTAAATTCTGAGTAATTTTAATCTAAAGATTCAAGATGTGAAAACTCGAGATAAAGCTAGTGGTAGCGTCGTGAATTTGACATCGACATGAACATATACACGCATCAAGTATCATGCATGTCATCATGTCAAACGGTTATATTTTTATTTTATGCACTTGGCGTCGCGACGCTACCGCGTCGCTTGATTTACTATAACAAATCTCACATATGCATTGACTAGTAAGTGAACACACATATGCATTGACAAGTGTATACACTTACTAGTCCATGCATATGTGTAACACTTACTAAAATTTACACTTTGACACTGATATAAACAATACGTATAGATTCGTAATAGGTTCAATATCTTGTTAATAAATACGGACTAATGTATGTATGTATTCTTTTTATTATTATAACGTCAAAATAACATATGAGACAACTTACCTTACGACTTGTATATGAGGCACATAACCTTTTATGTACACTGTTCACATTAATTCCAATTGCACTATATTTCTATATTATTTTTGAAGTGCATGTTATAGAAGATAATTGTATGAATAGCACATACTTTTTGTTAATATCACATTGACGGTATCATCTTTATACCATGGACGGTTTTGATTGTTGGCACCAGTTCTAGCGCAAGCGCATTTATGTGGATGTATGTTGCCATTCAGTGCTACCAATATTGACCAACTTAAGTTTCTACATACTGAATTAAAATTATGTCGCGACATATATATATATAAATATATAATAATAATTCCATGAATTAAAATTATGTCGGGACATAATAGAAATTCGCAATTATTATTATGTCCCGACATAATTTTAAATCCTTATTAAAAATCATAATTTTTTTAAGACAATTATTTTTTAAGAATTAATTTTAGACTAAATTTCTTTTATGCTATTAAAAACTAAAACGGCTTGCCATAGGTGGTGGGAGTATTTTGTTAAACAAAAAAATAAACAAAGTCTTTTTTCTTGTATATCTATAAAGTACTGTTGGAACCGTACAACTTTTGTTTAAAAAATTTTTTCTATCTTTTGTACTTCCGACGATATTTGCTTTGAAAGAAAAATACCGTTTTTTTCAAAGAAGTGTTTCACCCTTTAAGCATGAGTTAGGGCACGTATAAAAAAATACGTGTCTCTTAGATTTTCGTGTTTAACAACATATTTCATGGAGAATTAAATCTGTTCCGGACAGTTGTAAAACTTTCCTTGTCTGTAATTAAAACCTACAGTTTGTTCAAGAACTGAAAGACGTTCGATAGAAATCGTTCATCATGTATTCAAACATACCGCATTCGATATATAAATGACTGATATTAATAAATCGAAGCATTAAACTTAGCGAGTACCTTACCTCCACTTTCTCTTCATATATGGGCTGATCATCATTCCTATGAAGATCTAAACTGATTGGTACAAAGGATATGAGTCCTGCTAGAAGCCATACAACGACGATACCACCAATGGCAACCCTTCTAGTTACCCAACGGCCGTATCTAAAACAACAATATTTGACCATTTCTAATTTATAACTCTATAATTCTCTTCTTTTTGAATTCTAGTTGAAATAAAGGTCAAAGTGTAAGTTAAATGTATGCTAAAGCGTAATTAAAGAGGGAAAGCAAAAGGAGAGATAGAGAGAGAGAGAGTAACAGAAGTGTAAACGAAACTTCTAGAAAGCTTAAAAAATTGGAATAGCGTGTAAAAAAATATTAATTTTTTAAAATGTTTTTTTATGCTATTCTAATTTACGTTTCATAAAAGTTTCATTGATGTTCCTCCTATTCTCTCTTTATATTTAGCTCATGTTCAGATTTTTATTTTTGTCAGGAAAAGTTTACGTACATAATTTCTTAAGATTAAAATATTTTCAAGTGTAATTTTGACATTATTTTCTAACAATCTTTGTTTTAACTATTTGAACTCCTCGCAAAATTATATCGTATAAATAATTTTATTCTTTTAAACCCTTTTAACCACGCTAAAAAAATAGTAATTTTAATTTTTAATCTATAAATTATTCAATAATTCTTCTTTGAAGGTATATACAAGAAAATATTTTGTTAAAATATTTAAAAATTTAGGTAGATGCAGATTTGAAAATAAAGGAGAGTAGACATTTTCGAGAGTTTCTCTACCTTCGGAGATTGTTTTATTTCAATGTATCAATTTTTCCCTAGGTCTGGCGTTATTATAATAGTTATTTTTGTCCTCTACTAAGAAAATACATAAGAAAATATAGAAATAAAATAATTTCCGTGCGATAGAGAAATCCTCGAAAATTTTTATTCGCTTTTGTTGACCTATCAAAATAATTATGAAAAAAATTCAAGCATGATGATGGAGCGATGCCTCAAAAAGTTTTAACATTACAGCAATCAGTTTGAGCGACATAATTGTTTTAATAAGGAACAATTTCGAATAGAGTGAACACAATTTTGACCAAAATAAGATTTGTTAAAATTTTAAATTTAAGTTTAATAACCTTAATTTAAATGTCATTTCATTCAGAATTGTACTATGTTCGAAACTTATCCTGTTTTGGTTGTTTCCAACAAAATTATTTTGAGATGTGTACTTACCTAATAAATGTTTAAATACTTTAGCAAAATCGTTTTTTCGCTGTATCAATTACGACTGGATCTCACCTGAGGGGATCCTTGATGTGTATGTAACGATCGAGTGATATGGCGCATAGATTCAGAATAGAGGCAGTGCTGCACATAACATCGAAGGCGATCCAGATGTCGCAGAACCACATTCCAAAGACCCAGTAGCCGAGAAGATCGTTGACCCCGGCAAAGGTCATCACCAGCCCACCGACGAAGAGATCGGCGACGGCCAGGGAGGCTAGGAAGAGGTTGCCGATTCTCCGCAGCCCGCGGTCGGTGTAGATTGCCACGCAGACCAGAACGTTCCCGGCGACGGAGAAGAATATCAGGATCACGAGAAGGAATCCTGCGGATATCGCGGAGATTCTAGCGGAGAATTGCCAGGACACGCTACTGTTCAACCGTACAACGCATCGCCCCTTGAAGCGCATGAGTCTTTAAGAAATCCGACGTTGTGTCGGTCGGTCGATGAAATATGATTCGTCGCTATTCATAGAATTTAATCAAAAGATGAATGAGAAGAGCCGCGTCATACTGATGCGACGCAATATCGGTATCGTGATTATTATTGGTGGCTGTATAATGGATATATCTTTTTCCAAGAAATTTTTGAAATATATATATGTATATGTATATAAGGGTGTCCCATTTTAAAACTTCCACGCGATTATCTCAGAAAGAAGGCATTTATCGAAAAAATGTTTCAGACAAAAGTTGTTTGACTCGAAGGGGCATAAGATGGTGCCATCGATTTGACCTTGGATAGTCCTCTGAAGGTTACGTGAAAGTCACCTTTAATTTTTTAAATGGAATTATGTAATTTTTTTTAGATAAAGTGATTCCTCTAATTATTTTGCATATAAAAGTATTAAAGTAGAGATACCAAAAAACCAATAATTTACGAGATATTTTACATTTTACTTTGCTACATATTGACACAAAATGTTAAATAACTCGTTAACTGTTGACTTTTTGATTATTGTACTTTAATACTTTTGTGAACAGAATAATGAGATAAATCAAATGGTGTAAAGAAAACACATAGTTGCGTATTTAAAAAATTATCCATTTTGCATACATTTTTTTTAAAGCAATTATGTGTTTTCTTTACACCATTTGATTTATCTCATTATTCTGTTCACAAAAGTATTAAGGTACGATAATTAAAAAGTCAACAGTTTACGAGTTATTTAACATTTTGTGTCAATATGTACCAAAATAAAATGTAAAATATCTCGTAAACTATTGGTTTTTTGGTATCTCTACTTTTATATGTAAAATAATTAGAGGAATCACGTTATCTAAAAAAAATTACATAATTCCATTTAAAAAATTAAAGGTGACCTTCACGTAACTTCAGAGGACTATCCAAGATCAAATCGATGGCACCATCTTATGTCCCCCTTCGAGTCATACAACTTTTATCTGAAACATTTTTTCGATAAACGCCTTCTTTTTGAGATAATCGCGTGGAAGTTTTAAAATGGGACACCCTGTATATACGTATATTAAAACTTTTATTGTACGATATAATAAATATTATTTATAGAGGCTCTCGGAAGCCCCGACCTTTGTCTTAATAAAATTATTTCTGGTAAAATTGGCGTCGATTACATATTGAAAACATTTGAGGGTGGCCGTAATCTCCTTTTAATACCTATTTGACGTTATACTTCTATAATAATATGTTATAAATGTGAACGCTGAAAAAATGAAATTCGGGTGAAGTTGGATAAACAAAATGAAGAGCCGGCTAATCCGTTCTGGTTCACGTACATATTCCCTTTAGAAGGCTAGATTCAGCAGAGTATATAATTCGCTTCGTGAACTTTTATTTTATCGATAACACTATGCTAAAGTAATTTATCCTAAAACCATAAAATGTCGATCAGGACAACTTTTGATATTTCTTAAAATTTCATGTAAGTCTTCTGCATAAGTTACGACTGTTTAAGAAACATTTGGAATTTTATCTTATAAAGTCAAATAAAATTTTTTAAAATAAAAATATTAAATAAAATTTTATCTTATCTCCGTAATTTTATACAAACGTCTTACTTGAACAGAACATTAAAAATCAGTATTTTATATATAACTATATATAATAAATTATCAATAAATTATCGTAACATTTCAGTGTATTTAGATAGATCTTCAAAATATTGTTCTTAAAAACAAGATCTGGACTTTCGATTCTTCATCTATTAATCCTAAATAAAAGATCTCTACACACAATTAAAATTCTTTCATTTCTAGCAAAATACATATTGCGCTATAATAGTATCGGTATTAGTACAGGAATACTGTGAGAAGTTCATCGTTGGAGTTCATCGTTGATAAGTGTTGATAGAACAGAAATTACTACACTCGCCTTCGGGATATGCGTCCAATCATAATTTATCCAATTCTATCGTTTATATTAAGCAAAAGAGCGTTCGAGGGAAAACAACATGGCATGTAAAGGAAGGCTCGAGAGAGCCTTGGGAGAGGGAGAAAAAGCAGAGACTTTCACCAGTATGATTGGACGGGATCGGATCAGAGCTTCAGAGAATACATATAGGAAGGCTGTCTTCGAGGGGCGACTCGCGATCGATCAAATGGAAAGTTTAGCGAACCAACTACGAGCACCGACAGCAGTGAGAAAGCGTCTTCAGGCAAATCTTCTTCCTCGTCTGTCAGGTTACTCTGTGGAAAGATAAAGATAGATTGCGTGAATGCAAGGCAACTTGTCGGAATCTGCTATGATTTATACGAGAGAAGCAGGAGAGAATTAATTGGAATTAGCTTAAGCCAAATTATTATAAGCGCAACTACGTAACAGCTGCGGTGACAATTGTGACACATTTACGGTGAGGCAAGAAATAAATAAAATCAATTTGTGTGGAAAGAAGCATAGGGATACCACAAAGATGTTAATATTGCAAAGATCAACGTCTTCGGAGCTCTGAATTTTCATTTTTTCTAGTATCTTTTTCCAGTATGCTGTCGTATTTTATGGTAGAATAATGATGAAAGAACGCTTTACTGCGTTAACTTGCCGTTATCCACGGGAGGATGGCTACAGTTTTTAATACTCTTTGCTAGATGCTATTTCTCATCTCGGGATCTAGCTACGTACCTTGGCATAAACGCAGATTTTCGAGATAATAAAGTTGCTTTATTTCTATTTTTTATGGCGGTAGATGCAGGTTGGCGCACAATTATCTAGAAAATATTTAGTCCAGTGTATCTCATTTATAATTGCGGGTTTAAAGTTAATACTTTGGTACGGGATTTAATTACTAGCCACGAAATCATTCTCTTATATTTTGACACAATTCAAGATATTCAAGATATTTGTTGATACAATTTAAAATTGCTATTCTGATAACAATTCGAATAAAAATGTGACAATAAATCTGAAGAATATTATTGCTCAAAATCTATACATTTTTAAAAAACAAAGATAATCAAAGGCATATAAGAGTCAAATACAAAATTGGTAAACCTTTACAAAAAGGGACCATCTTCCGATGACCTTGATCTTGACATATGTTGTGAAGGTCATGACCCTGAGTAACCTTCGACAGGTATTAGCCGTCGCTCGTCCTTCGTTAAAAAGTTATTAACAATCAAAGTTTTAAAAATAACGTCTTATTTCTACTATATACCATCTTAAACATTATTCTACACATTACATATTGACTTCATACACTACACGAACTCCAATTCCTCCCCCTCCCCCCTCCAAGAGACGTACGACTTCTATGTTTGCACTGTTGTAATTTTAAAATTAAGGTATAATATATAATACATGTATGATATTGAGTACTATTCTACACTTTT